CTCTGATGAAAAACCTATATGCTTCCACTGCGGACGAGTCAGACACATTTCACGTCATTGTCGTAATTCCTGGAATTGGCAGCCATGGTTGAACTACGCCAACACCCGGCGCCCACCTAATGGTTCCCGCATGCCAATATACGACGACCACGACAATGCTTCGCTACCCATGCCCGCTCGACCAAACCGCTCGCCGCCGCCTTCCGGACGCCTGTCGCGGTCACCTAACCGTTACCGCTCTCCTTCTCCCTCCTACCGCCACCAGTCCTCGGAAAACTACCGGGCGCAGCTCCCAGAGGTGAGCCTGCCTTGACGACCCGACGCGAAATTCCTCTGCACACCCAACCCGGACACAAGAACTTGATCAACGTAAATGTAGACGGCCCAAGCCCCGCCGCGGTGGTCTAGTGGCTAAGATACTCGGCTTCTGACCCACAGGTTGCGGGATCGAATCCCAGCTGTGGCGGCTGCATTTCCGATGGAGGCGGAAATGTTGTAGGCCTGTGTGCTCAGATTCGGGTGCACGTTAAAGAACCCCAGGTAGTCGAAATCTCCGGAGCCCTCCACTACGGCGTCTCTCATAATCATAGCGTGATTTTGGGACGTTAAACCCCACAAATCAATCAAATGTATACGGCACACCTGCAATAGCACTCATTGACACTGGCGCCCACATATCTGTAGTGAACTCTAGTCTTCGTGCTCGGTTAAAGAAAGTGCTTACGCCTGCTCCTATCACTGTAGTCCGAGTAGCTGATAGAGCAACGTCAACTATCACTTGGATGTGTGCCGCTCGCGTCACTGTGGCTGGATGTCATACTTCTGTTTTGTTTTACGTTCTGGACCACTACCCACATGAAATCATTCTGGGATTAGATTTTCTGTCGGAGCGTTCCGCCCTAATTGACTGTTCTGCTGGTGTTGTTCAACTTGCTTTACCACACGCCGTTGACCATCCTGCTCCTGCGCCTCCAAGGCTATGCTCCATCGAGCACATTCGCCTATTATGTCGATCTGTGAAGTATAAGGACGTCTCTTCCGGTGCGCCTGTGGCCGACGGAGATTATGTGGTGTTACCTAACGCTACCGTCCTCTCTTCGTTGAATGTAGCGTTCCCGCACACGATTATCACCATGAAGGACTACGCAGCACGTCCTCCTATTGTCAACTTTGGAATTTGCGCGCAAGTACCGCCTCGAGGAATATGCCTTGCAACACTTGCCTCGGCCAGTGACTACAGCATTTCCGCTTTAACAGAGGAGACACCATCACATCCCAGTTTTGAGTTGGGCACTACCCGAGATGACATAATGAAAATGATCGCATCTTATCTCCCTGCCGAGCATGTCTACGCGCTTCGTGGCCTTCTTGCGTCGTATGAAGAGATATTTAATCTGCACGACCAACCACTAGGCCAAACGACCGTCGTAAAGCATCGGATTAACACCGGCGATGCAAATCCGGTACATCGGCTACCCTATCGAATATTCTTCACCGAACGCCACGTGATTCAGAAAGAAGTCGACAAGATGCTTTTTCGGAACATCATTGAGCCTTCTTCAAGCCCATGGGCTTCGCCTGTCGTCCTCGTCAAAAAGAAAGATAACAGCTGGCGTTTCTGTGTTGACTACCGGAATCTTAACAAGGTAATGAAAAAAGACGTGTATCCCCTGCCGTGGATAGATGACGCGCTTGACTACTTTAGTGGAGCAAATTATTTTTCTTCCATCGACCTCTGTTCCGGCTACTGGAAGACAGCAGTTGATAACATAGACCGTGAAAAGACAGCATTCATAACTCCCGACGGACTATATCAGTTTAAAGTAATGCCATTCGGGGTATGCAATGCCCCAGCTACATTCGAACGAATGATGGACGCTCTCCTTCACAGTTTTAAATGGCCAATCTGCTTGTGTTACCTTGATGACGTCATTGTCTTCTCACCTATTTTCGAAACACACCTCGAGCGTCTCTCGACTATTTTTTCTGCTTTCCGCAAGGCAGGGCTTCAGTTGAACTCGTACAAATGTCACTTCGGCCACCGCCAGCTCACTATCCTTGACCACATTGTTGATTCTTACGGTGTTCTTCCCGACCCTGAAAAAATCCATGCAATCAAAGATTTTCCTTTGCCGACCTCCGCGAACGACGTTCGGAGCTTTCTGGGCCTCTGTTACTACTTTCACAGATTTGTGGGGAATTTCGCTTACGTCGCGCGCCCACTCACGGAACTACTGAAGAAAGATGTGACTTTTGTGTGGGGACCTGAACAAGCCAGAGAAATCGCTGAGCTGACCACCAGACTTAAGACGCCACCGATTTTCGGCCACTTTGATATGTCCGCTCCAACCGAAGTGCGCACCGACGCAAGTGGCCATGGAATAGGACCAGTTTTGGCACAAAGACAGCATGGCTGCGAGCGCGTCATTGCATTTCGCTAGCCGTTTATTATTGCCAGCGGAACAAAATTACTCAATCACTGAACGTGAATGTCTTGCGCTCGTTTGGGCAATGGGTAAATTTCGGCCATATTTGTATGGACGGCCATTCACAGTTGGCACTGACCATCACGCCTTATGCTGGCTGTCGTCCTTAAGAGATCCTAGTGAACGTCTGGGCCGGTGGGCTCTACGGCTACAAGAATATTCGTACACAGTCTTTTACAAATCCGGCCGCCACCATGAAGATGCCGACTGCTTGTCGCGTATTCCAGTCGACCCACTGGACGTTCCTGAGAGCGGTGAGTCTACTTGCGTGCTGGCACTTTCCGCCTGCGGCAACATCAGAGATGAGCAACCTCGTGATCCTCACTTTAGAGATATCATCCTTCGGCTGACTGGTCCCACAACTCCTCCGTCTCTCCGTATGTTCCTGCTCCAAGACGGCGTATTATAGTGCTACAGCATGCATCTTGACGTACCTGAGATGCTACTGGTCATACCCCAACATATGCGTCAGACTGTCCTCGCGCAGTTACATGACATGTAACTGCGCGAGTTACATGTCATGTAACATGACATGTAACAGCCTCAAGAACTTATGACCGTGTTCGACGTCACTTCTTCTGACCTGGTATGTACCGATCCGTCCATCGTTACGTCGCGTCTTTTAAATCCTGTAGACACTGCAAAAAGCCAAGAACCCTTCCAACAGGATCCTTCAGCTCATTCAAATACCATCGGAACCATTTTATAGGGTAGGTCTCGACCTACTTGGACCTTTCCCTTTATTGGTCAATGGGAACAAGTGGATAGCAGTCACCACGGACTACGCTACTCGGTATGCCATCAAGCGGGCCCTTCATACCAGTTGTGCAACCGACGTCGCCGACCTTCTCCTAGAAAACGTGATACTACATCACGGCGCCCCTCGACAACTACTTACCGATCGGGGTCGCTACTTCCTATCCCAGGTTATACAAGACATATTGCACTCTTGCGCTACAAGACACAAGTGTACAACAGCCTATTACCCTCAAACCAACGGGCTCACAGAACGGCTAAATCGAAATATCACAGACATGCTCGCCATGTACGTTTCCACCGACCATCGTGACTGGGACGTGGTCATGCCATTTGTGACATTTGCCTATAACACGTCCCGGCATGATACTGCAGGTTTCTCGCCTTTTTTTTTCTCATGTATGGACGAGAACCCACGCTACCTTTTGACAAGCTCCTCCCAACCGTTACCCACACATCGGACTACGCCCATTATGTTATCTCTATATCTCTACAGGCACGTCAAATTGCTTGCCTGCGTTTTAGTGATTCGCAAGACCGCCAACGACTGCTGTACAATGCCCGCCACCGGGATGTCAACTTCCAGCGTGGTGACATGGTCCTCTCAGCACGCCATCACGGCGAGTTGGCCTGTGCGAAAAGCTGACTTCGCCATACTTGGGTCCGTACCGTGTCGTGCGCCAAGTTACCGACGTGACCTATGAAATTGAACCACTTCACAGCACCAGCGCCCGCTCGTGTTCTGACGTTGAGCACGTCTCTCGGCTGAAGCGATACCACTCGGACCAACCGAGCACCGAGACGGTGCCTTCGCCGCCGGGGGGGGGGGGTGATGCTACGTAGCGCCACGGATAACTCGAAACTCGATAAGAAAGAGGACGATGTCAGAGCTCTCGTGCAGACTTGGTTCCATCTTGTATGCCTGCTTGTTTTCTCAATAGTAAACATATTTCTCCGACGCCTTTTCCCCGTAACAACATTGATACATATATATCACCACTAATAATGTGAACTGTTAGTAAAACGCTAGAGGTGGAGCGTTTTCATCTATCTATCTATCTATCTATCTATCTATCTATCTATCTATCTATCTATCTATCTATCTATCTATCTATCTATCTCTCTATCTATCTATCTATCTATCTATCTATCTATCTATCTATCTATCTATCTATCTATCTATCTATCTATCTATCTATCTATCTATCTATCTATCTATCTATCTATCTGCCTGTCTGTCTGTCTATCTGTGTGTCTGTCTGTCTACTTATATTGCCGCCTACGTCTCAATTCTCAGGTGATTACCTCCTTAACATGGTGTAGATGGAAATTAGCAAGGCAGGTTAGAGGAGTGGGCAAAATTGAGTGTATGACCTTGACGCGAATAATGTGAAAATCTTGTCGCTTACACTTGATTGATTGTGAGGCACACTGTGGAGGATGGCTTCAGAAATTCTTATTATCTCCTGTTATTCATCTGCACTGTCATCGAAAGTAAACATGCCTCTCGTTTTTGGCATCTATCCAACTATTGGAAGCGAATCCTCGAATTTTGGATCACCAGCCAAGGATTGTAACCACTACACTACCACTGATGACGACGACATTATCCGATCAATAAATATACAGGCGCTGCCCGTTATTAATTTTTAGTTGATTCAAAGGTAGGCAAGGCTTTACAGATAACACATTAGAACAGTTTTTTTTGGTCAACAAAATATTCACTAGTAATGTTATTGAACATGACGTTGATTGCAGGGTGCTTGGCGGCGTGAAAAATTTACGAGTTGTGGATGCGTCATCGATGCCTTACCTTACAGCCGGAAACCTTAATTCACCACTAATGATGATGGGTCACCGTGCTGCTGCCATGATCATCGAAGACAACTCTTAGTAAGCATGCACAAAAACAAAATATTACTGCTGTCGAACTTTAGAGTCGCACTCTAAAAATTACGTCAACTACTAGGATAACGTGCGCAATCGCACAGTTTTACGTCATCTAATTATTATTGATGTTGTGCTTTCTTTGTGTTTCATTTACGTTCCTGGCGTTGAACAACCACAATATTCTTGCACGACTGCAAAATTATAGCCTCAAGATATCACCAATTTCGGATGAGCACATCAAATGCACTTTGTGCCAAACTAATTTAATCAAGCACGTTTCCCATCCAGTTTTGTGACCCTGCCCATTTCCTTGTTTTATTGCTGCACCATTAACAAAACTCGGAAAACACTACAGGCCTCCTCACATCATCACTGATCTTAAGCAGTAGTTCAATAGCGACGACTCAGTGGTTGTCCTGCATATCACATAGGAAAGTAATCACGAAGCTTAATCTCTGGCATCCAATATTTTTTATTCTTTTGTGCCGGTACTGTTGATTCTTTAGGGACAGTTGCAGTCGTAAGATTTATTGCAAACAGGTGTATGTTTCGCAACACTCAAGACAAAAACGGTAACACAGTGGACGTCGATTTATGTAATGCTACTTGACATACGATAACGTAGTCTACAGGGTTAAGTCAACAAAGTAAATAGGTCATTTTTGTGCTCAACCATCCTTACGTAGTTACTGCAACGTTCATAGCATTTTACTTCATGCCTAGAACAGAATGCGCTCAATATTGTACGCTACTAATATTTCATATCATTGACATTATTCTCAATCGCACATAGCTTTTCAGAGGAAAGTGGGTTACATAAAATATTTTATGAAAAATAGCAAAATAACATCAAAATGATGAGGTTCACAGAACATAAGATTTTGTGTTAGGCCTTAAAATTCATTACAAGTGTAAGTATGATCAGAATAGATGCGACAAGAAAAGTACAAAAACATACATACAATACACATTTTGCATGTCATCACGCAAGTAATTTTGTATGGTAGATGAAAACTAGTCATAATTTTAAATGGGAACTATGTCAGCGGGAAGGCGGTGTCAGTCGCTGGATGTGCGTGGGACGAAAAAAAGATGGAAAGTGTTAGTGCACCACTTAATGACGTGTACCTTATGGGGATGATCTAAACGAGCTGAGCGATAGGATAGATTTGTTATGAACTGATCTTTCTAAATCGGGTGATAGAATATCTTTTGACAAAGTACGAGCCGAGATGCTGTGCGACGCAATTCAAGTGACTGCAGCGAGAGGGAGTGTTTGATTGAGGAGACACTGCTGGTGCGATGTAGTTAGAGGATATGAAGGTGTTTGTCCATATGAAGCGTGCTGCGTTATTCTGTACCGTTTCGAGGGAGAGAGTAAAGTTCAATTGAAAGGGGCCCGAAACCGAGCATGCATATTGGAGCTTTGGATGAACTAGCGTTTTATTCATTATTAGTTTTACGGCTTAAGGAGCGCGACTACACTTACACCATACTGTGGTTTTCCCAGCGTACGGTTGCTATTGTTTATAACGTAGTTAATGTGATGCTTCCCGTTGAAGTCAAATGTTATTTGAAGTCTCAAGTATTTATACCAAGTTGCGGAATCTGGAGCAGCGTGGTTTGCGGTGTAGTTAGCATGATGTGCCGTAGTTTGTGAGATGCGTAAAACTTGGCATTCGTTATTGTTGAGTTCCATGCTTCAAGTTCTGAACCAGATAGAAATGTTATGATTGTCAGTTTGCAAGGTACTATAGCGTTGGAGTTAGGTGCAATTTTCCAGTAAACAACGAAGTCGTCTTCGAAAAGATAAATAGAAAAAGTTACAACTTTGGGAAAATTGGTAATATAAATAACAAATAGCAAGAGGCCCAACACAGATTCCTGAGGCACACCTGCAGTAACAAGAGAAGAGGGTGAGATGTGGGCATTAGCAGCAACGAATTGTGAATATTTGCTTAAGAAAAAGTCAATGCAATTAAGAAAGAAGGCCGCCATCAACTTCCAAGTAAGAAGGTCACCGTCAGCTTCTTTAGTAATATGTGAGAATTATCTTGCCAAAAGCTTTCAAAATTTTTAAAAAATTTGATTGATCATTTACCTCTGACACAAGATGGTGTGTAATTGATTTGATTGATTGATATGTGGGGTTTAACGTCCCAAAACCACCATATGATTATGAGAGACGCCGTAGTGGAGGGCTCCGGAAATTTCGACCACCTGGGGTTCTTTAACGTGCACCCAAATCTGAGCACACGGGCCTACAACATTTCCGCCTCCATCGGAAATGCAGCCGCCGCAGCCGGGATTCGAACCCGCGACCTGCGGGTCAGCAGCTGAGTACCTTAGCCACTAGACCACCGCGGCGGGGCACAAGATGGTGTGTAAGGAATAGCTGAAACAAAGCAGCTGTGCTTCACATGAGAATGACTTCCTAAATTTGTGCTGTGAAGGGCTAAAAAACATCTTCGATTCTAGAAAGGTGACCATGTTAGAGAAGATTATGTGCTCGAAAAGTTTACGTGGTATAGAGGTAAGTGAAACGGGTCGGCAATTAGGTACAAAAGCCCGTTTTCAGACCTATGTAGCAGAATCGTCTTCGTCTCTTTTCATGCGTGTGTCACCACATCTACATTGAAAGAGTGCTGAAATATTTGAATTACGAATTATGAAAGAGATGAGACATGTTTATTTTTTGAAGAAATCTTGCGTTTAAATTGTCAACAACGCAAGCAGATCCCACTTAAAGTGATTCAATGACATTTACAATTCCATGGGCTCCAGTCACTAAAGCAGACTTTGGTGGAAAATTGCGCATTGGTAAAGAGGCGGTGACAAATGTATCCAATACTGAAGACTTCCGCACAACATTTTCGTTCAGATGAGCTGAACAATGCTCGAAAGACAAGAGAGGAGCGTGTGAGTCTACAAGTACAATTTCGCTGTCATTGGTAATCGTAACCATTTTCCAAAACTTTCTCGGGTTGCTAACAAGCATTTATGGCAGAGAGTTAGATAGAAAGTCAGCTTTAGCATGTGAAACTATTGACGAATAAATTGGCGCGAAGCTTTCACAGACACGCCAGACATCTTCCGTACCATAGAGTTTTGCAGCACGAAACAAGCATTTGTTTTTGTTTGAAAGTCGCTTTATGTATCTGTTGTACCAGGGTGAGCAAGATCTTACAGCTATGGACTTTAGAGGCACAAAAGTGCGAGTAAGTTTGTAAATTATGCTAACAAAGGGATCCCAGTTTCTCTGCACGATCTTTTAACAAAGTTGTTCAGGTAAGTGTCAAAGAATACAGAGTTCGTAGTTGATTGCTTCAAAGTTCCCCGCCTTTTAGTTGTAGATTACCTCACAATTTTAGTAGCAGTTGGCATGCCGTTGCGTTTGTAAAAATCTAGCAAACAGTCATCGCTGAGACAGGAAGTCTGTTTAATGAATGAGTGGTCTCTGGCATCGTTTTAAGATTCAAATCAAGATTGTTTGATGAAGATCTGATGGCGTGAGTTAGGTTGATCACGATTTGCGTAAAATAAATCGGTTGCAAGTATCATGAAAACATTGACCATTTGAAGAAAGTAATACGACGTATGGTAGCAATGACGTCCACAATATGACAGGATTGTTTAAGTCGCCGAGAATTGTTATCGACGATGATGGGTACGACGATAGTTATAGCGCGAGATCAAAACGATGACACAGAGACAAGAAGGACACGTTTTGATCTCGCGCTATAACTATCGTCATGCCATACCAACTAGCCCAAGCTGCCACACTTCTATGATGGGTACCACATCAGAATTTTATTGATGTTATCTTGAAACTCCTGAAAAAAGCTGATGTCGGTATTAGAGGGGCGGTAATAGATGCCAGAAACAATTATTCTGTTATACACGACCACTCCGACATATATCATTCTTAATGTAGATGTCACGTTATAAGGAAAGGCTTAAAACGCTTTGAAATTGCAAGCAAAGTAGCAGCACCCGGTCGTTCTTTCCAATCGCAGCAATAAATGTTCAATGACTTGGAAATATATAAACTTTGTTATCGCAAACACGATCACTTAGCCAAGTGCTGGTTACAGTAATTACGTCGGGCTCACAAGAATTGATAGTGGTGTCAAAAGCGTCATACTTTCTCATGACGCTATGAATGTTCCTGTAAGCAGCAAAATACGAAAAAAGGGCGTGGGTTGAGTCTTTGCCGTAACGTGGTTGCTTCTTTCTCCTCCCGGCCAACCATCAGCATATATGACTCCCCTGTGTATTTATTCATGCCATCTTGCAGTGGTTCAAATTCTCACTCCGCAAAACGTCTGTTTGAAGTCAGCACCACATTCATTATGTATGATGTACTAACCAGAGAGATCTACTGCTCGAAAAGAGAAAACGGTGCATGAAAAACTCTTCGTCGGAGATGGATCTTCTTTGTCCGAGTTTTTTCACTAGTGTTAGCTCGACAATACAAAATAAGGACCATTTTTTCTTTTTTCTTCGCAGGTAACTAAAGAGGGAGGAATAACGAGCTCATGATGCAATCAAGGCAAAAAGTCTATGTTATAAAACCACTGATCATTGAGCTCTTCAACCATTCGTAATACTTCGTAAGCGAGAAGCTAGCCAAGAGCTGTGGGAGGCTCTCGTGCGCCTTTACAATGCTGACCTTCAGGAGGCTACGAGAAGTGGGCTGAGTAGTGGAGGAGCCCTACCACAAGTAGTCCCGCCTACATTCTTGCTGTCTTTTTTCCTGAAGATGGGCCTAATAAAGCTGTTGCTGAGACATGCTGGATGCACGTCGTATACTTTTCTGTAGACAAGTTTAATGCATTTCGCATATGAACGCGAAAAGAAAGCACTTCTTTTGTAGACGCGAAAAGGGATGAATACCTTGCCGTTCTAAACCTCAAAGGGACGCTAAAGTCAAATGGCAATTTACGCCAGAGTGAAAGCTCAATGTACAACATCGAAAACGAGAATATCTTCAACAACAGTGCC